GGCGCCTCAGGGCCCCTCAAGCCCGAATAACCCGAGGGGACCCTGGGCCCGAACCTGATGGGGGGGGGGGGCACGTGCCTCACGGCCCACCTGGCTACGCCACTGAGGAAAATCGTAAACCCGTAAATATCAAAATGCGATCACCTGTCATTTTTCAGCGATTAGGTATTATTGGGATCGTCTGATTGCCGCCAGAGCCTCGAAGCCACCGTTGCCTCCGCGCAATGTCCGCCCCTGCGGACCGCAGCGGCTGCTGCACCGGTGCTAATCGCCGTCATTGGTTTCTGTCACCTTATTACAGAGGTGTCGGGGCTGCTGCCATGCTGCCGGCAAATATACGACTTTTTTCGGAAAGATGTTTATGTAATAAGGTAGCCAAGTATTAGGACGAGCAGAATGATTTTCAAGAAGAACGTTCTGCCCTTGGGAAATGTTAGTGGAAATCCCGGCATTATCAGTAGGTACCTTATGGGGATAACCAGCCCTGCCTTGTACGGTTGTGCCCCATGGCAAAGCTGCAATCTTTCACCCGGTGCAGGGGTTGAGCACCCCCAACCATTTTGAAAAATCGACACCCCTGCTCGAAACTCACCAAAAATGACCTCAAAGGCCTAGTGTCACTAGTAGTGAAGGTACCATGTGCGTATAGGGGTCATACTAAGCACGGGTCAAGGTCAGGTCAGGTCACGAAAGGTCACGGTTTTCACTTTCTGCTACATGGGCGTGCGACACATGTTTTATGGCTTATTTTTCACGCCGAATCCGATGGTAATGGTTATATGTGACCCCAAGTCGCTGTGCTGGTGATAAGTGTGCATTGAAAGCATAAAAAATCGTTTATACCATACATAACTAAACGAGGGCTAAGAAAAAAGTCAATTTTTCAACTTTTTATTTTTGACATAAAAATGCACTTTTCTAGACGAGCTTTGTCCCAGAAATCTAGTGGTGCCATTTGTTTTCACATGCGATGTTCAGAAGTACCTCTAATTCACGAAAATGCTTATGACGTCACCATGCCCTATGCATGTTGGAGCTATTTTTTACAATTTGGGGGTCAAAAATCAAGATGGAAAGTTGAAATTTGGGGCATCTAATGTTCTAATAGAGCTCTACAACATACATTCCGGTTTTTTGGAAATTCTCAAAATTTTGGATTTTATTAGCTGTTTTCCAAAAAATATAGTTTTTTGAATTTTTAGGGGTGAAAAACGCATTTGATGGAAAATCCGAGATAGCCATTTTAAAGAACTCGTTGAGCTGCGTCTTTTCCTGTCCTTAATTTGCAATTTGCTTCAAACCCTGATTTTTGGCGATTTTTTCAAACATTTACCACTTTTTGACTAAAAACGCCATGTAGTTACATCACTAAAATCGATATATCTCAAAAAAATTGGATTTTTTTTCTAAAATATTGCACAGGAGACGTCAAATTGATGGGGGAGAAGTTATGCCAAGTTTCAAGTAGATGGCGAAAGTGGTTCATGAGTTATTCAAGAAAAACGGAGGGGGTCGGATCCGACCCCCCAGGCGGTCGCGGGTTAAAATCTGGTCATGTTTTACTTACAAGTCAAAAAAAAGTGTTGGTGAATTTAACTGACCTGATTACCACCAGACTGAGCCTCTTTTTGCCTGCATTTTTATTTGACATGTCATGACCTGACCTGACCTTACCTCACCTCACTTGATCTGCTACCAGACGGAGCTCCACCTGCACCCGTCAGTACCTGTGACCTGACCTGACCTGACCTGACCTGCCACCAGACGGAGCCTCACCTCTACCTGCTGGTGACGGTGAACAACCTGAGCGCCCCCTACACAGTGGACTGCGACGGCGCCTACATTGAGGTGGAGCGCGAACGGGACGGTTTCGAGGCGCGCTGGTGCGGCAACCGAATCAAACAGGCGAGTGGCATGAATTGGAGATCTCAGACCATATTTGGTCGGACCTTGCAAGTAGAAAACAAGGCGGACAATCAACACAAAAATCGCTAACGTAAACGTTAACGCGTACGTATACTACTTCTATTGCACACCTACCCAGCGCCGTGTTTCATTATGGTTGCTGAGTTATGTCAGATCCTTCTCTTTCGTTTGTGATTGTTTGGGTCCAAACTGACCTGATCTGACGTGGCCCGACCTGACCTGCAGAGCGGCTCCCGGCCTCACATGGTGTTTGCCCGTGGAGAGGTGCGCATCGCCGTGTTCAACGACGGCAATACCACGCAGCTGCCGACCGGCTTCGAGGCAGACGTCGAGGGTATGTAGCCACGGACGCTGGATGCTCAGAGATTTAAAGACGTGCTGGGGTATAAAGTGTTTAACTGTTGAATAATGATACATTGTGCAGAAAGGTGAAAGCTATTTTCGATTTATACCTCATACATGAAAGCTTTAGGAGCAAGAAATATACTCGTGTATCACTGCTTACCGAGACGTATAGTCGACTACAGAATGATGCTCCACTTTTCACAAGCATTTATTTGCCTGAAGTGGTAGGCTGTGCCGCATGACACGGACGGAGTTCACAAATTATAGCTTTTTCCCAATGCTCACAATCGACACGCTTAATTGCGTGATAAACGGCACAACTTAGCGCTCCGGTCAACTGATAGCTTCTGAGGAGTGGAACATCATTCTGTAGTCGACTACCTATACAACTCTTTCATGGATGTCCCAAGAATGCATTTTAAATCATTTGAACGAATAAGCAATCGATCGGAAGTATGTGCTTGAGACAAACATCATTTGTTTACCTTACTCAGTGACATGCCCTTTTAATACCTCATTTGAAGAGAAAGTGCAAATGAATTGAAACTTTTAGCTTAATTTAAAACCCACAATATTGTACAATATTGTAAAACCCACAATATTGTAGCTTTACTTTGACAGCCGGGAACTTTGATCACGTGACCTGACAGCTGGGAGGCAATCGCAGTAGCCAATCAGGGCACGCCTAGAGCTATGCTAGTTTGCCAGTTAGCCAAACAGAGCACGCCTGGAGCTATGCTAGTTAGCCAATCAGGTGACGGACGGCCAGCGGACGGCCAATAGCGGAGCGATCCTCACCTCACGTGCTCGGTGGTGAAAGCCACTGTCATTGAGAGTGGGTGATCTGTTTCGGGGGAGTACCCGGGGGAGATTTGAACGCCGATCCTTCCCGTGTCGTTGCAGTGGTGGACCTGCTGGACGCGCGACAGTACGCTACGTTTCGACGCTCCGGCCTGAACTTCCGGCAGCTTGTGCAGGATCCGGCCTTGCCTCAGTGACCCGGAATTTCTGCATTGACCGAGCTTGTTTTGAAGATCTGGCAGCAAGTCTCAAAGGATTGTCAACAACGAGACCAAAAATAGGCGACAAAGAGTCGAACTGATGATGCTGAAGACTCAGAACTCGAATCGTGTGTGTGCTACGAACACTCCGTCCATTTGTAATACCACAGGGCATTATGTTTTTTTATATGCTTTGTATAGTACTCAAAGCAAGTGAAAGCTGGCATTGCAGCAACATGTATTTGTTTGTTTGTTCGTGGGCATTGACTCATTTATGTAGTTCAGTTGACGTTATATTCAGAGATGATGCGATGAAGCTATGGATATTCCATCAAGTGGTGCGATCTCTCCGAATCTTCCGCCGGGTGATGCGTAACCATCAGGCTGATCTACCACGACTTAAATAGAAGTGCTGGCCGAATAAATATCGTAGTGTATTTCTAATTGTGTGCGTGTATAAAGCCGGTAAGGAATTACTCACGGACGACTGACGCAGACCACGCTTATGCTAGTCACCGTCAGATGGCAGGTCCAAAGCAGGTGGCAGCACAGCGGCGACGTCTATTTTGGCTGTTACTATCATAAAAACGGCGAGTACAGAGCTGAACAAACACACATTCATTTTAAAATGCACACATATTTGATATTTTGGGCTCCAGAAATATTTAAACACGATTCGATGCTATTAACTTATGATTAAATCAACCCCTGGTCCGTGGAATGGCAGCACTGTCAGACGTTTCTTTACTTTTAGTGCTCAGCCAGCATCCCGGAATTCATATGTGTAGTAACCGAAGCAATGTGTGCAGACTGAACTCTAGAGCCTTCTTTCTGGCGTTCATCACAGGGTTTGCTGTCATGCTTTCTGACGTTGTCAAGATATTACCATCTCGATAACGTTGACCAGATGATCTGGTTCATGTTAAAAAGGCTGGCACTTATGCGTTTTAACACCACGGCCATAACCGTCAGGCTAACGTCTTGCGGGCATATAACCCGTTTGGCCGTTTCAGTTTTGGAAAAAATGGTAGCAACACTTTAACTATATAATTATGTTTCAAAGTGTGAGAAAGCCAAACCTAGCGAGCTAACAGTGCAGTTACAGTAATAAAAAGATTGCTTTCAATAGAAAGGCCCATAATAAAAATGATATTGGCCGTAGCGATGGCAACATCAGCTTGAACATCGTGCCGAATCTGAGGGTAATGCAATTTCCGACTCTCTCACTCGTCGTCATCCAGCTATGACGTCGAAGCTTCCTGTCAGCAGATGGCTTTATCGATTCCCAGATTCGGACGGCGCAGTCGAACGTCGCCCGGAAGGAATGCTCAAAAAGTCGAGATTTATAACTACGTGCTCAACCATCAACCATCGTGATAACGTGGCGTGTGTAACAGTGGCGCTTTCAAATATCCCTAAAGAGAGAAATGGGGTGAAATGGGTAGGAAAGTGATTGCAAGGTTGAATAGAATATATTCGAAAAGTGGTTCTGGGGAGAGGGGACATACTTTTTCCAACCTTCCTTCAATTTTTTAAAGCTCCACGGGTTTCGCCTCCAAGCGATGCAGTGCAATTCAATGCAAACTTTCTCTTTTAAAAGCTGTTCAGCGTTTTTCTTTGCTTAGAAAACAACACAATTCGTGAATTTCAGACGCCACGGGAGGGGCAAACACCCAAAATGCCCCATCCCTTGCACCCGCCAGTGATAATAATTAATAAACGTCAACGTACCATAAATTATCATTTTATTACAAAGCACAATAAATTGCCAGAAACAATAGCAAACAGATGACGAACTCCAAAAGAAGCGAAAAATATTTCAAAGTAAATAGCTGTCAATAAGATCTGACTGTCAGCTGGGCAATCCAATATGACGAGGAATGTTTCTGTTTGCGAATGATTCATCTAATTAGCTCAAACAGCCACCGCGTCGTATTATATCACTGTTACACTCCCTAAGCGTCACTAATGGGCACAACATCTTATTGAGGCATCACAGATGCTAACGTACGCCAAATTACCACAAGTCTGCTACGCAGTGTCTACCTGGCACCTACCCAAACACCACCGGATAGACGTATCACTAGCTCACACACCTTCCCCGACTGACGCGGGGTCAACGCACGTGCAACGGCCCTCTACGCTGTGCGTGCACGTGCCTTTGTGCAAACAAATGACGTGCCCCCTCTCACTGGTTGGAAGTGGGCCACATAGCCCAAACAGATGGACAGAAAATAAAAGCCGAAACAGGTCAACAGTGCGTTTAACATAACTAGGAACGTGTTAGTTGATGTAGGAAGAGTCCAGGAAGCCAGTCCTTGTCGTGCGTTGCGCTCCTCATCCGTTACGCCTCCTACAGGACTGCTATTGACACTGCGCGGACGATACATCTTGCCTACACCAGCCTGGCTTCGGCCAGGGGCGGGGATACCGGTCACAAACAGCACGCCACGAGCCTATCGAGCGTCCGCGCCGAGCCTGTCATTACAGCGGCAGAACAACAGATGTGTGAGAGACAATTCATCTGTTTGAAAGTGTCAGGAAGCTGAAAGCTACTCCGCTATCAGACCCACGCAACCAGACCAAGAACCGCAGAGCGCTGAAGACGCGATCAATAAGCCGAGAAACGAAATGGAGCAGGAGTCGCCAGCGTACGCAATACAGCGCGAGGATATGAGAGAAGCTAGGCATGGCACGACCACATAGCTACCTCGAGCTGCCTACAGGGACACTCACTATCGCTGGGCCGGACCAGCGCGTCCATACGTCCTTCCGCCCTCGGCAGCCAGCGAAGGCGCTCACAAGCCTGACTTCGATCTTGACGTGCGTCTTCCCCGCGGCCCGCCAGCGTCGGCAGGGCACCAGCCGTCCTCACCGCTGCGGTTCCGTCTTCATGTCTCCTCCAGACTGGCGGAGCGCGACCTGAACTGACCTGATCTGCACAGGCCCCAGCCGCCACCAGCTGTTCGCGCGCCGAGTTGGGCATCAACAGAACACGCTCAACCAAGTATAGGCACTGACTAACACTGAGCTGGCCGGTCGGGCGGCAGCGGTGCCGCGCGGCGCCCTCCGCAGAGTCGTCGGCCGCCGCGGCGCCTACTGCAGCGAGCATTTCCCTGCGGACACGAGCGGGACGATCAGCAGCGGTCGGTCAGCGGTCGCGGTCAGGCCGCCGGCGCCGCCGTGGCCACATCTCAGCCGGTCAGCCCCCGGGAAATGTCCGGGCCTGATTTAGGGCAGCGCCGACAGTCGACACCCGCGCTACGCGAACCAGCTCTATCTGAGGCCCTCCCGACACCCCGGCAATTTAACGCCGCGAATGGCGGCCGCAAAGGCTAGGTGGCCTGGACGACCTTTATCTGGCCTCGGTAACCCAGGTTGACTGAACGGATAAAAATATACCTACCCCACATATATTTTCACCAGAAGTCCCCGAGACGTTATAGGAATAATATGCAATATGCATGCATGCACTTTCGGTTATCTCCAGAGTCCATTCACATAACCATCTGTTGTGTGTTGCATAAAAATGGCCCCACATTGCTCGTCAAGCCCGTGAAGACCAGCGTCCAATGGCCTGTTTAAATGGAAAGCAGGCAACGCCAAGGCTTGTATAATTTCAAGGGTTTTAGAGCGCAAACATTGTACCTATGTTATAAAAATATACCTTTTTTGAGATATTTAGAATCAGAAGATATATTTTTAGTTGTTTGATGTTTGACTGATGACAAAGGCTTAAGTTTTTCCTCTACATCAAAATCTGTTTTAGATATTCTTTGTGAAAATTTTCACGGCACTCTCAACTGATGCCAAGCACCGCTTTCAGTCATTGATGGTTCATGCCTATCCATGCATGACAATAATTACAAACGAATATGTCCCCAACTGACGGCATGTCGTGGTTTCATAGCAGCATGCACAATGCGTATAGCACGATAACATGCGGATAACGTTTATTACCTATAGGAGTTGCACAGCGTCCATCAACATTAGGTAGTTATCATATTCTCCGCATACATATCAGGCGCAGCGACAATATTTTTCTCTCTATACTTGCGCTTAGGCTACAATCAAAGGCGAGTAACCATCAATTCTCGAGCTGTTCGACGTTTTACATGTTACATAACACATCGGCAATTTGATTTCTCGTCAGCTTATCGTCGCATTCATAGGCCTTACTTCACTTTCACATAAAATGGCAACCTCTCCTTAACAAGCCAATGAAATTAATAAATGTTTCACCTCCCTCAGACGTTGAGTTTTCTCGAGCGTCCAAGTCGGACACAAAGTAGGAGCACTTAGCAGTGTTGAGCCGCATGCAGTAGACATTGCTATACATGTCACAGTGAAGGCGCGGTTCGTGCAGGTGACTACAGCACAAGGTTACAAGATGTTACAACGGTCTGGAAGCAAGAAGAACATAGCATACATCCATTGTTAGGCACGTTGGGGGTTGACAGGGCAAGAGAACGTTGAGATCAATTGAAATGGAACATTGAAAAGCTCAGCCTAAGACAGAGAGTTGGTGACGCCATGAAGGCAATGAAAAATAAGGTCCTTTCATTGATGGGATGAGGTAGCGTCACCCTTTATTTTAACACTCTATAGGATACTTCGCATACTGCATAGAGAAGTGTTGAGTTTCTAGCGTAGGCCTGGCTTACAGTAGGGAGTCAAATACGTACCGTGAATTGACCGCCATTTGTCTGAAACATAGACCGACCAGTCAGGAGCTACGGTGTGCTACCACGCAGCGTCAGGTCCGATCTGACCATTGGCCCGTGCAGCGAAACCGTCAGGCAAAATCAGATGATTACCATGCTAGTGTATGGCGCTTTGCGTACCACGTCATTCTCGAGGATGATTTCGTGCCATCGCCAGCATTATTTAAGTAAAAAACTTGCATCAGGCAACTAAAACTATCGCAATAATTGCTAAAAATATCTAAAATGACTAGGCGAGAAAACTCACGCGTGCAATTGTGCTAGGACTCCAATGTGATATAAACTAAGAAGCATAGCGCAAATTACGCTTTGGCTGATGTCCTTATTTCCCTCACCTTCAATTTGCTGTTTTATGTCTCCTACTTGATTTTCCAAAGTGTTTTTCAACTCTGAAATTAAGAACTTTCGTGTCAGTATCTTGAACCTCTGCTTAACCTTAACTTTATAGTCTATGTTTAGGTAAATGGAAGACGGTCGCATTTGGTGCCATCAAATCGTGCTGGCGATTACAGCTGCTGTTTTTATTCCTATTTTTCATTTTTATTAGTGTGCTTTTGTATGTGCCTATCTAGTTGAAAATGTGCATAGTTGCGTTTCATTTTGTTTCCACTTCACTCTTAGTCACTGAACAAGACGTTTTACTGTATGTTTCGGAATGATCGTGCCCAGTTCTACAGTGCATAAAACGGCGCGTTTTTCAGCGCTTTCCCTTCACCAGTACCAAATACCAGTATCAGACCATATCGATTGCCAACGATCTCACACCCTGAAAATCAAGAGTAAGAGATTCACACGTCACGACCTTCACCGGTCCACGGTCAGTATCAGACCGGGTCACACACTGGTAACTGTCCGGCATCACGTAACAGTCGTCTAACTCAGAGCGCGGCGACAATTCGCCCTCGGGCGGCAGCTGCTGCCTGCTACCCACCGAACATACGCTTCGGGCTGCCCGACCGCCGACTGGGCCCTGTGAACGAGCCGCCATCAGCCGAGGCTAAACGTCCATCAATCAGATGTCGATGGATTTTCAATATCCGCGATCGTTTCAAGGCCCGTCACGCATTTTAAGACCGCATTTTAATAATCTACTGAATTAGAAGACGATGAAAGTATGAAATTTTTCATTCTACCCTATGGAACAAGGAACAACATCTTTCATTAGTCTGAGACGATACTGTTGCTCAATTCGACGAAATGAAATGACAAATATTAGAAGATGTGAGTACAACGAAAAGGTTCAAGCAATTCTAGTCAGCGATAATAAGCCGGTGTCCCGGGGGCGATGCGCGAGTCTGCACCGGCGCCGGTGCCGCAGTGCGGTCCTGTGGTGCCGGGTAGGAGGACGGTCAGCAGCGATCGACCCCATGGCGTGCCCACAGCCCAGCCGACCCTATAGGCACGGGTCGCCGGGGTAGCCGGCGGAACTGCCACTCGAGTGACCGGCCGGCCGACCCGATGGCCCTTGAAGCGGGCCGTAACACCGCAGCCGGCAGAGGGGAGCAGGTCGAGCCATCGACCGCCGCTCGAGTGTCGGCCTCCAGCTCCGGCCAGAGGCGGCTCGAGCAGTCCGACGGCACCGAATTACGCACTTGGTCGGATTTCGAGAAATAGGTCCTCTGCAGCCGGACCCTGGAGGGCTATCGCTCCGCGTCAGTTTGGCGGCGTTTCTCGATTTACAGAGCCGGGATTCGGATATTTTATTCAAAGTCTCAATCAGCCGAGCATGCCTACGTCTTTTAATACTTGCATTAAGCGCTCCCAACTCTCGAGCGCCACTCTGGACACTTAATCCGCTGCCAAACTTTGCCTCCGTGGATGTAACTTAGCAAAAGCCAGTCCAGCTTGGAAATCGTAGATCAGACATGGCCAGATTCCAGTCCTCGACGATAGGACCCAGACTTTTTTAAATTGTTTGGCCTTGTTTGACTAGCTGATAAATTTGATAAATTTGACCAACTGAAAAATGTAATAAAAGCCTTTAACGCGGAAAGAAAGATAGAGAATATCGGTCAATAAAGTTTTTGGTTGAAGATCTTAGATCTTGGCTCCATGGCAATTTTGTGTTAAAGTTATCCATCGAACTTAGCGACACTACATGCTACCTTCTAATTATGCCCCAATTTAAACGTCATTTACGGACGGTGGCACCGACAAATCAAATAATTGAACAAAGAAGTATAGGCTAAATTTTGAATTATTGTTTTGAAGCGATCACATAAAGGACGAAGCAGCATATTTTGACAGTCGCAAATAGTTCATCACTGATGAGGACTCAAATTACCCATCTGTCGCTGTTAATCGGCCTCGATAAGACAACCACTGCCGAGTCCCGCCCGTTCCCCGCGGCGCCACTCACTGGTAAGCTCGTCCTGGTCAGCCATCTCGGCCTCCTTCTCCAGCTCCTCGGGCGTCTTCTTCTTCCGCATCAGCGGGTTGTCCGGCTCCATGTTCATCGGGTCCACCTCCTCCTTCTTCTTTATGTTGTACTGAAGTGAGGCGGCAATCACGGTAAGGCTGCTGAGATGGGACAGCAACACAAACACCGGGCGGCAACTGTTGGACCCTGACCTTTTCTATAGCATAAGAAGGGCATATGGGAAATCAGTCTGTCAGCGAGTCGCGAATTTCTAACGAGAAATCAGTTTTTCTCGGATGTCTGACAATCGTATTGCGTTTGATGCCAATTTGATTTACCAATATGCAATACCATTTGCCCCTGTTTCTTATACCAGTAACTCCGTCTTTTCACCTTATCTCTGATGCCCTGCCTCATGGTTTCCCGCTCCTCTTCCATTTTGCGGTGTTTGTCCTTCCTCCTCTCCTCTGCCTCTGCGATGGCCTCCTGTCTCTCTCGCTCTGCCTCCTCCTCCTTCTCCTTGTCTCCTTCGTCATCTCCGCCACCGCCGGGCAGCTGGCCTGGGGAGACAAACATTTCAGTGTTCACAGCTGGCCTGAGGAGACAAACATTGAACGAAGCTCACAGCTGGCCTGGGGAGACAAACATTGTGCAGTGCTCACAGCTGGCCTGGGGAGACAAGCATTTCAGTGCTCACAGATGGCCTGGGGAGACAAACATTTCAGTGCTCACAGCTGGCCTGGGGAGACTAATGTTGTACAGCGCTTACAGCTGGCCTGGGGCGACACCACAAAACTCACAGCTGGCCTAAGAATGCACTACCACAGAGCTCGCAGCTGGTCTGGGAAGATAACTACCACATGGGGTGACATCTGGTCCCGGGAGAGGCCGCCACAGAGCTCACAGCTGGGCTGGAGAGACACTACAGTGCTCCCAACTAGCCTGAAGGAGACAACCATCCCCGCTGGACTTGAGAGATAACGACAACAGTGCTCACATCTGGCTTATGGAGACAACACATCGGCGACATGGTCTAGCTATGGCGCTAATAATTTTTCATACCATTGCCAAACTTCGCATATTTGGTTGCGGCAAGACAAGTGGACCTTGCTGACACCAATTCATAGGCGGTGAACTAGCGCAGTTAACCAAAAAGCAGCTAAGAAGAAACTTAATTAATTAACTTTCCTCAACTTTAACCCTATTCCTGGCGGGGGGGGGGGGGGGCCTCAGGAGCCCCCCCTGAGGTTTTTTGGTTATTTCTCCCAAACGCGTTGAGCTAGGAAGCTCAAATTTTCTGACTTTTCCTAAAAGGCTTCTACGCAACATGTCTGAAAATTTTGAGTTGATCTGACCTCAGGTCAGGTCACCAGAGGCGGTTTGGTGACCCTACCTCAGAAAAGTTTGCAATCACGCCAGAGCTAGAGTTTTTGACCGATCAATTTCTTCTCTTCAGGGTTTAGTTAGGGTACCAGTATGTGCAATTTGTTTATCTCGGAATTTTGATATCGGTGACCTAAGGTCAGGTCAATTTCGCGACCTCCCCATTATAAGTCAATGGGGGAAAAATCAACTCCCTGTTTTTACCACTAAAACGGGTCGGAATGGCCCCATATACCATACATGACTTCATATACGATCAACCTTCACTACCTTGAGGTCTGTTTTGCTATTGGGCAGCTGTGAGGTCATGTGACGTCATCAAAGGTCACCAAAGGTTTTTGGCCAATAACTCCGTACAGGAACAAGATACAGACGCGTGGATGGTCTCATTGTGTTCAGCTCGTCAAGACGCATCGAATGATATACATGATGACCTCGAGGTCACGTGACCTGAGGTCAACCTTTGACCTTGACCTTTCGAGGTCAACATATATATCATTCGATGCGGATTGACGAGAGGATCATGATGATGCCCTTAGTTTGTTCCTATCTTGACTAATTCGAAAGTTATTCGAGAAAAACTCTCTCCATATCTAGCGCCGCCATTTTGACTTTTTCGACCCCTGTGACGTCATCTTTGACCTGACCTGAAAATGACCTTTGTAAAAATTGTAGATCTTGGCCGTGCGTATCCGATGCAGTTTACCGCTTGTCGCTATCTTGCTTAGTTCTCGAGATCTCAGGGGGGGGGGGCCGAATCGGCCCCCCCCGCCAGTTTCTTGTCCCGGCGGAGCCCGCCAGGAATAGGGTTAAGCTATGTAATTGTAAAACAAGTTATTCGTTAGTGAAATGTTTCATTTTCAACATTTAATACATTCCATTAGAAGGAAATGATGCTGGGTTCCAGCTTAGAAGTGTAGCCATGTAATGGCTACACTTCTCAGCTAGCTTGGCCTGTTCAAATCATATGCAGCTATCTTAACAACAGAACAAAGCAGGCAAAATCAAAACTCGCTTGTGGTTTCCATCACTGCTGATGGCTTGCAGGTGAGCGTAAGGCACTGTGAATAAAAGCCAATTTCCTGAAACACTTCCTGCATTTTCCTTTTCAAGATTGGTCGTTTTAACTGGTTTCCCCAAAGTGGCGTCACGTTACGTAACCGCTGTTATTCCCTGGTTATTCCCGGAGTTGGAGTGAGCTGATTCTTATTCCGGGCCGGCCGATGGCCTGTCTGTTAAAATGAGAAGAAAGCCCTGCGTTCGAGCGGCTGGCCAGTGTGCCTGTCATGGGTGGAAGTGGCCTGGCCCCTCAGATAGCGTAACGTTCTCGATAAGGCTCGAATTAAAATCGGAACTGGTAAATGATAGGCAAATTGGTATGCATTCGCGGTATTTAAAAGCTTAACCCTCGCCCGCACATGGGGGGGGGGTGGTTGCCACCCCCCCCCCCCAGGTAGTCTTTCTGCTCTGCACTCAACATTTTTAGAGCTAGAAGGCTGATTTGTATAGCTGCTCCTCTATCCTTTCTCGACGTCCACTGAAAATTTCAAGTTTCTGTGGTTTTTGGTTTCGGAGATATGGCCTTGTTTTTCAGGTCATGTGATGACCCAAATGGCCAATTCTCAACATCTTGCGTTGGCTATGGGCCTTGTGAGCTTTTGACACCTTGATTTCGGCCTTTTTTGTCAGTCTTACCTCCCACCTATCATGGAACATGTTGTTCGACGATGTACAGGTGTCAAGGTCAGGGTCAAGGTCAACCTAGCCTAGGTCATTTAAGATAATTGCGTTTTAGGCAAGCTGAATTTACTTTTTGTGAAGTTTTTTGACTGCATTTTTGGTAAAAGCTTCTCAGATCATGATTTCATGTAATATGGACACAAAAACAATCGGTGCACACATCAGTATACACACAGACACACACAGACATACAAACACGTATAATTGACCTTGACCTAACTTGACCTGAAATGACCTCAGCAGCAAAAATCTGGTCGGGTAGTGTGACAAAGAGGTTCTAGCTGGCTTTGCACCAGAAAACAGCATCGTCATCGGTAGGTACATGATAGGCAGCGCACTTAATATCCAACGGTGATCCAAAACAGCAACATTTTTTACTTTGACCTGACCTGGAAGGTCAATGACTGACCTGAGAAGGTAAAACTGGGTAGCATTGGATTTGTCTCTTCCCAAAGAATCTTTTTGGTCTTTACCGCTAAGCTCTATCTCCAACAGGAACGAAATGGCGCGGGGGGTGGCAACCCCCCCCCCCCCCATGTGCGTTCTAGGATGGGAAAATGGCATGTGCGGGCGAGGGTTAAACACACTCAGCTTCTACATACGTTCTCGTTATTTATTCGATATGCAATTGATTGTTTCTGAATGAACATGCAAAATGATTCATATGCGGTGCCTTTCGTCTCTCATCATTTTGCGATCTTCATTCAGAGCTCTCTTAAAACCCTCGCATGTGTTGGGGGGTCGGATGGACCCCCCCCCCCAATGGTTTTTCGCGAATAACTCACGCAAAAAGCGGCCGATCGCGACGAAACTTTCAGTACCCTCGAGTTGATCAATTTTACACCTACTGTGAAAATTTCATGACCCTGACCCGAGTGACCAAAGCCTGTGCCAAAGGCCAAGAAAAAGGTCACAGGCCAAAGCCTGTGACCTATTTCTCGAGGCCATGTTTGGGCGGAATCGCGATTCGGCGTATGTCGGCTCGCATTAGCCGCGCGTTTGCAAGCTTCTCGTGGTTTCAAACGTTCAAACATGAGATTTGATGTTGCTCCCATGCATTTGGGTGGATGTCAATGTCACCTGAAGGTCAGGTCAGGTCATTGACGCTTGGTGACCTCGGTTCACTTTTTCGAGCTGTACATGTTTCTAGGCTAGTTTTTTTTTAGCTGAATTCGAATTTAACAACCATTTGAACATTTACGAAGTAGTTTTGGTGCCTTCGTAACATGTTACGAAGCTGTCAGAGGCGGTTGACACGTACTACGAATACCCGTCACGACGCCTACTGGTTGACCTGACCTGAGCTGACCCGACCTGGTCTAAATGCTTAAAGACATCATCTGTGATTAAAACTAACACGATATTCGTGATCAGCACCCGAAAAGCCTGTTAGCAGCCACACTTTACGACTTTCTAACAGGTCCCAATTTTCCCGACTTTGGGTCATTGACCTGACCTGGAAGGTCAACCAATGACCTAGGACCTTGGGACCTTGTATGGACCTAGGACCTTAGGACCTTGTATCATGGGCTGCATTACGAAAGTCATATTATTGGGGGTGCGACTCTGGACCCCGCGACCCCACCAGTGGCGGAGCCTCTGACACTTTCATTGGTATAAGTAAGGTAATGAGGAATGTTAGCCTACATATACGCTTGCATTGCGGAAAAACGGAACGTGCAGCTGCGATCATGTTTTTTAAATGAAAATAACTGGCTCCGGTTGATAAAGCCACCACTAAATAAATCCAAAACACTTTGTCACCAAGGTGGATTTGTTAAACGGATTCCACTGTAATAAATGTTTGCTGTTAAGAAAAAAAAACGTAAATTTGCAATGCTTTTATTGCAATTGGCAATGGAAAAATATACGTATTCAATTTACATATGTATATAGTTTGCATTTCTCGCTTCATTTGCGTGTATCGTGAAACAACATAAACATTCATCAAAACCGTATGGCTCTCAGATACCTACCCACGAGTACCTATCATCAAAGTAACCAGCAAAAAGTTCTCCTGTGAAAACTTTTCCATGGAGATGACTTTACTTTGCCATACCGAGAACCGATTAATAACTCTTGTTATATACTGGTTTACCAGGTCAGTATGAGACAAATGCCGGAGACAGCTTACAATATTCGACTTCATTAATAAATAAATAGGGTAAGGGCGGGTAAGAGTACGCGGGCGATAAGAGTACGCATCAGCTGTTTCGGTTGCTTAGCAACGCGGGTTTGTCGAGTTCATGAAGTGACATGAAGCCGCCAGTGCGTGCTTGTCACCAACGGAATGTGGGCGTTGAGCGGCGACGCTGTTGAGTTTAAGGCGATGAATATTATTTTCGAGCGTTATGATATTATTATGGTATGGTACAATAATTTTGATACTTGGCAGTTGAGATAAGGTACATTTCCGTGATTGTTGTGGGAAACTTGT